GCAGCGTGCGCGCCAGTTCCTCTGCCTGCTCCAAGCGCTTCGTCGAAGCAGCCGGCGCGGTTGAGCAGCCGATCGACGCCGCGCGCTGGCCCTCGAGAGCGCCCCATGATTTCCAGGCTGCCGAAGACTTGCGGCAGGCCTGCCTGCATGAGGGCCGGGCGGGGTCGATCAGCCAGAGCAGAAGGCGCCCATACCTTGGTCTTGCGCAGGTTCAGCCGGAGGTTCACGGAGGCCAGGGCGTCGACCAAGATCGGTCGCCAAGATCCGACCATATCCGGCTGCAGCTTCATGAGCATGTCGCCCATGTACTCGAAGTGCACTGGCGCGCCTGCAACAGCGCAGGCCGACGCAGAATACGCCTCAAGGAATCGGCGAAGAGCCCGGCGGAGACCCAAGCAAAACAGTAGGGAAGACAACGTATGACCCTGATACAAACCATCCACCATCGAAAAGCAACTCCACGCAGCCAGCCCTGATGCCGTGTACACTGGCGTGCCGGCGGGCACCCACAGGTTCAACAAGTAAAGTGCTATCTCTGGGACCTCCTTGCGCACCTCTTCCATGATCTCTGCTCTGGAGACCTCGCCAAAGGCGTTGTGCATACCAGAAGCGCAGAAGGCGTCGCCAGGGCAGAGCTCGGCCAACGCCCTGCCGATGCACAGCATAGTCTCTGGAGCTGCTTGAACTCCGATGCCGAGCTGGGTACCCGAAAGCAGTTTTGTGACCTTGTGCTGCACCGTCTCCTGCAGGCACGCCCCGGGCAGCGACGGCAAGGCCTCTCCGACCACGATGGGTCTGACGTCTGCCCCGTCGTCGCCTGTCCGGAGAGGCGCGCCCAGAACGGACCTTCAGGGCGCAGCCATGACTTCCGGCATGGAGCCAGACACCCACGCCAGAGCCCAACCCGTCAACGCCACGAGGCCCGAGGGGACGGACGCGATGTTCTTGAGCCTTGGGTTCCGCCAAGAACTGGTACCCGAGGCTTTGCAATCCGCTGTCCGTGCCACGACCGTGCCGACGGTCTTCGGCTGCACCACCAGCGGCTTGCAACGGGCGGCCTTCCGCGCCAGGCCCGGGCGATTCCCGATGGAGTCGTTGGCAGGGTCGGCGAGGAACTTGCCCTTCATGAGGTTGGCGGCATCGTCGCAGGAGGGGCGCGCGCCGCTGCTCGCTAAGATCCGGCGCCCGGTCCGAACGTCCCCGTGCAGGACCTTAAAGATGCTGGACTCGAACTGCTTCCTCTGTAGCTCGTCGGAGTCCTCCGAAGTAGCCTCAACGCGTCGCCCAGCAGCTCGGGCGGCCGCCGTCGCGGCATCGGCTGCTGCAGCACGCGCCGCTTCACGCCGCTCGCCTCGTCCGAGCATCTGGAGCCAATGCCGGACAATCGGTGTGACGTCACTGGCATCTTGAGGCACACTGGCACCGAGGCTGCGCGCGGATCCCCTCAGGTCGCGCGCCACTGAGAAGTCCAAATGGCGCAGGAACAGCGATGCGCACTCCGCGCGCGCCAAACACGTTTCCGGGCGATGCAGCTCTGAGACGAACCAGTTCAAAGCAACAGCGGCGACCTTGCTGCACCTGTGCGCCAAGCCCTTGGGGATGAACAGGTGCGAAGACAGGGGGGCCACAGCTGGCAGACCCCGCAAGAGCTCAAGCAACCTGTCGACGAAAGGCTCACTGTGATCACCCCCATGGCCAGACCTAGCAATTCGATCCTGCTCCGGCGTTTCATGCAGCGGTTCTCGATGCGACGCTTGGGATTGCCCTTGCGCTGGCCCGTGGTGCAAGCCGTGCCCGCCGTCACCGCCGCCTTGGCTGCCGGGGGGCCCCTGCTGACTAGCTGGAGCAGCAGTGTCCGAACCAGGGATGCCGGTTGCCCCTGCCGCCTGCGCGCCGGGCAGAACAGGGACTCGCACGAAGCGCACTTCCACGTGCGTGCACGAGCCTGGCGGTGGGCATGGCAATGGTCGCAATCATAGCCTGCGGCCGTCGGAATAAATACAGGCACCAGCACGCAGTCGCATCCAGCGCGGCACAAAAAGCACCCGTTCCGCGAGCGCGCCGCATGCAGAGGAACAGCGGGACCAGCAGCAGCATCAGGAGGAGGCGAAGGAACGGCCACGGCGCCCCCCACGGCGCGGGGGGCCTGCTGCACCTCGAAGGCAACGCGCGGATCTGTGTCTGGAGCCACCGCGTCCTGATCCTCCGCGCCGCCTACGGCCTCCTGCACGGCCCCAGCGCGCCCCCTTGCCCCCCCCCCTCCCCCTCCCCCTCCACTCTGGGCTGCTGGCGGCCCCCGTCGCGAAGAAAGAATGTCCGCCATCGTTCCTCCTCAGGCCCCTCAGGCTCCTCGCTGGCGCCTGCTGCCGCGGCAGGCCGGGCCGCCTCCTCCGCTGCGAGAGCGCAAGACCTCCATGCGACCGCGCTGCGCGGCTCGCGCGCGAACGCCCAGCCGCCACGGCCCCAGCCCCCTCCGCAGCGCGCGCGCGCGTTACCTCGCCCCGGCCGCGCCCTCGTCAGCCCGGCGCCGCAACCAGGGCATCTGGGGCTGCTGCCAGACGGCGGCACTGCTGCGCCTGGTGGCGGTGTTGCCGGCGCCACCTCCAGTCGCGCATCCCACTGCCAACGCTCCTCCTCCTCCTCCTCCGCCGCCTCCTGCTGCGTCGATCACCGTGCCGTCGCCGTCGACGCCTCCTCCTCCTCCTCCTCCTCCGCCTCCTCCTCCACGCTGCGTTCCCTCTCCCTCCTCCAGCTCTTCGGCGGCGCTGGCGCAGTCGCTGTCCGCCACGGCCGCTCCCCCAGAAGCACCTCCATGAGCATGACGCGATCCGCTAAGTCGCGCTGAACGCTTCCAAAGTCTCGCGCGGCCTGCTGCGCCAGCGAGCCTCCTGGGCTGCAGCCGCCTGCGCGTCGACCAGCTCGCGGACCTCCGCCATGAAGTCCCGAGGGCCTGGGCGCGGCTCGACGCCCTCCCCCGTGAGGTCGCGGAGCCGGCCCCCCAAGGAGGCGACGCGCCGCCCTTCGCGCCCGGCGAGGCAGGGCTGGCGGGCGGCGCGGGCCTGCGTGGGCCAGCTGCCAGTGCATCCACCATGCCTGAACGGCGTCGCGAGGTACGTTCAGGCCCCGCGCAGTCTCGCCCAGGGCGGATTCACCCCCCAGCCGCAAGAAGTCCGCCAGCCCCTCGAGGGAGCGGGCCCGGGGGTAGCGCGGCAGCTGCTGCCCAAGCACCGGCACGCCAGCGGCACGCTGCACGCTGTGGCGGGCGCATCCGCTCCCGCGGGCGCACCCGAGCAGGCCGCAGCAGCAGCCGGCTGCCGCTGCGACAGCCATGCCGATGAGGGCGAACAGGGCGACGATGAGGCAGGACTCCCAGTAGTGGAAGCACAGATCGCCACCCCGACTCTCCAGGCTGGCGCGATCATCGAGCCAGGCAGTAGCCGCCGCGCCCGCTCGGGCGGCAGCAGCGCCAGCCTGCGCGGCAACCTCATGGACCACAGGGTCCTGGGCCGCCTGCAGCGCCCACAGCGCCCACGGGGCGCCCCCGCCAGCGACGCCTGCCAGCGCAACCAGCGCAGCCTGCCCGGCGCCACCCCGGCGCGCCAGGGCCATCCGGCGCGCGCGGAGCGAGGGGAGGAGAGAAAGGCGAGAAGGCCCGGCCCCCCAAGTCTGAGCCTTGAGCTCTTGAGCTCTCTTTTGAGCTCTCTCTCTCTCTCTCTCTCTCTCTCTTTTTTTTTTTTCTCTCTCTCTCTCTCTCTCTCTCTCTCTCTCTCTCTCTCTCTCTCTCTCTCTCTCTCTCTCTCTCTCTCTCTCTCTCTCTCGCTTTCTCTCTCTCTCTCTTCTCTCTCTCTCTCTCTCTCTCTCTCTCTCTTCTCTCTCTCTCTCTCTCCTCTCTCTCTCTCTCTCTCTCTCTCTCTCTCTCTCTCTCTCTCTCTCTCTCTCCTCTCTCTCTTTCTCTCTCTTCTCTCTCTCTCTCTCTCTCTCTCTCTCTCTCTCTCTCTCTATATATATATATATATATATATATTTCTCTATCCTCTCTCTCTCTCTCTCTCTCTTTTTCTCTCTCTTTCTCTCTGTCTCTCCCTCTCCCTATCAGAACCCCCCTCCACCGCAATGATGATCGCGATGCCGATGGGATCTCACTATCTACCTATCCGTCGATCCACCAAACGATGATTTTCACTATCGATCTCACTATCGACCTCAAAAGCTAAATGAGAAAGCCCGCCGCAGTCGCCGAACAAAAATAATTTGTCGTCGGACAACCACAGGCCAACCGTCGGCACAACTACCAGACAACCATCAGGACAGCCACATGACAACCACGAGACAAGCATCGCATACTAGGTAATGACACTGGAGAAGAACCCCAATCATATTGGTGTTGGGGCTATGGGGCTATAGGACTATAGGGCTATAGGGCTACGGGGCTATAGGGCTATATGGCTATACGGCGATAGCACTATAGGGCTATTGGGCAATTGGGCGATTGGGGCTATAGGGCTCCAGGGCCACACGGATATAGGGCCATAGGGCTATAGGGTTAATAAAGCTATAGGGCTCCAGGGCTCTAAAGCTATAAGGCCCAGGGGCTCTAGGGCTATAGGGCCATGGAGCTATAGGGCTCTAGGGCTATGGGGATATTGGACTGCAAGGCTACATGGGAGAGATATAAAGCTATAGGTCTGCACGGCTACACGGCGCCCGGGCGCCCCCGGGCACCTCCGGGCACCCCCGAGCACCCGGGCGCCCGGCCGCCCATGCACTGGCACCCGGGCACCCGGGCACTCGGGCACCCAGCCACCGGCCGCCGGAATCCCGGGGCACCCGGCACCCATGGCACCCAGGCACCCGGCCACCGGCCACCCCCAGGCACCCCCAGGCACGGGCACCCCTGGGCACCCCCGGGCACCCGGCCGCCGGCCACCAAATCGGCGCCGCACCTCACCTAACCATATGAATCCGCTAGAACCCCTACAGAGGTAAGCTCTGATTGGGGAATATATGTCTCTCTCCCTCTCTCTCTCTCTCTCTTCTCTCTCTCTCTCTCTCTCTCTCTCTCTCTCTCTCTCTCTCTCTCTCTCTCTCTCTCTCTCTCTCTCTCTCTCTCTCTCTCTCTCTCTCTCTCTCTCTCTCTCTCTCTCTCTCTCTCTCTCTCTCTGTCTCTGTCTCTGTCTCTGTCTCTGTCTCTGTCTCTGTCTCTGTCTCTGTCTCTGTCTCTCTCTTTATTTTTCTCTCTCTCTCTCTCTTTCTCGCGTTCTCTCTCTCTCTTTCTCTCTCTCTCTCTCTCTCCTCTCTTCTCTCTCTCTCTCTCTCTCTCTCTCTCTCTCTCTATATATATCTTTCTCTCTCTCTCTCTCTCTCTCTCTCTCTCTCTTGTTTTTCTCTCTCTCTCTCTCTCTCTCTCTCTCTCTCTCTCTCTCTCTCTCTCTCTCTCTCTCTCTTCTCTCTCTTGCTCTCTCTCTCTCTCTCTCTCTCTCTCTCTCTCTCTCTCTCTCTCTCTCTCTCTCTCTCTCTCTCTCTTTCTCTCTCTCACACACACTCTATCAGTCTCCCCCACCATCACAATGATGGCAGTGACGATGGGTGATGGGCGCGGCGGTGCTGACAGCAGCGACGGCGGTGGCAACTATGATTCATACATGTTTTTCGCGCCCCACTTGAGTCACCACGGCGGCGGGGAGCGCAACTGACTGGCCCTCTGCGTGTTCGGCGTGTCGCTGTGGTCAGCAGCGACTGCCTCGGCGTGCGTCGGAGGCTCGGCGCCCAGCCAGTTACTGGCAGAGCCTGGTGCCACTGGCGCCAGATGATCATTTGCACTGGCAGAGCGTGGTGCCACTGGCGGCACGTCCTGGAGCGTTCCTCCGTGAGCCCAAGTAATGATGATGCCGTTCGCGCCCTTAGGCTTGGAGTCAAATTCGGGGTGGTGCCAGATGCAGGTTTCCAACCCGCCAGGCTGAAGCAGCTGGTTAAACTCGGCATACATCCGTTCGTCGCCGGGTTGGCGGCCCATCTTTTTATGTGATATTGCAGGCGGGTCTAACTCGCCGCCATGTGCTTGCAGACAACGGCAAACCAGGTCCACCACAAGCGCGTCTGCGTCCGGCTCGGACGCCTCCGCGCTGGCATTTTGCGAGCGCGCCGGAATGTGCAGTGGCAGAGCCTGGTGCCCCGTACCCACGACCGGCAGCCCCGCCACCAGGTGATCTAAGAAGATGTCCCAATGCGCTGGGCGGTAGAGAAACTCCGACGGCGAAGTGCTGACGAGGCTAGCAACGGCACGGAGGCAAGCGACCTCGGATGCCTCATCTTTCGTGCTGCCATCTCCATCTGTCACGAGTCTGCGGCCGTTTCCGGCGGCGAAGCTGTTGGGCATGCGCAAGGTGCACCGCCAATCAGCAGTGGCATTGCCTGGTGCGTGTGATTGGTAGTTTTTGCACGCCTTAATCGAAGGCACGATTGGCCCGCCGTATGCTTTTGGGCGAGTGGATGCGTGGTTGTTCAACACGACGTGCCATGAGATGTTGCGGACGTGGTGCTCCAAGAGGTACGTTTCGACAGCCATGGCACGCCCCTCGGGCCTGCAGTCAGGGTGGGCATTTGATCTCAATCCCCCCCCAACCTCGTTTTCGCCCGCAGGGCGGTCGTCGGAGGTTGGGGGGTGAGATCGCAATGAAAGGGAGACCCACACCGGGAAATCGGTTTCGGTTTCGCGTTCGTGTCACGCGTGTTTGCGAGGCGAAGCTGCGCGCGATCCTCCAGTAGGTTGGCCGAAGTAGGAGCGAAAGTCCGTTCCCGTCCGCCGGTGGCTGGGAGGTGTCCCAGTGAGGCCGGGCGGTGTCCCGGGTGTCCCGGGTGTCAATAGGAGCGAAAGTCCGTTTCCCGTCCGCCGGTGGCCGGGAGGTGTCCCAGTTGGGCCGGGCGGTGTCCCAGGTGTCCCGGGTGTCCCGGGCGCCCCAGCGCTAACGCATGTCGCGAATTTCATAATTAATGTTTGTCGGCGCTTGCGGCGGGCTTGCTTATCCAATCCAGCTTATCGTATCCAATCCACTTTGTCCGATCCAATCCTTTTTTTTCTTATCCACCCCATCTGGCCCCATCTTCTCTTATCCCAACCAATCCAATCCACCCAACCCAATCCATCAATTAATTTGTTTATGCGCCTGCGGCGGGCCAATCCAATCCATCTTATCTGATCCAACCCATTCTATCCCATCCAACCATCTTATCTTATCATATCCGTCTTATCCCATCCAATCCAATCCATCCAACAAAATCCATCAAGCCATGTTTGTCGGCGCCTGCGGCGGGCTTTCTTATCCAACCCAGCTTATCTTATCCAATCCAGCTTGTCCAATCCACTCTATATTATCTTATCCAACCCATCCTGATCCATCTAATCTTATCCCACCAAATCCAATCCATCCAACCCAATCCATCAAACTCATTTGTTTCTGCGCCTGCGGCGGGCCAATCCAATCCATCTTAAGTTAGACGCTCCATCTCTTCCAATCCAACCCATCTTGTTTTATCCAATCCATTTTACCGCATCCAATCCATGAACCCAATCCGTCAAGTCATGTTTGTCGATAGTGAGATCGACCGTGAGATTCACCGATAGGTCGATTGACGGATAGGTAGATAGTGGAATCTCACCGTCATCGCGATCATCATTACGGTGGAGGGAGACTCTGATAAAGAAGGAGAGAGAGAGGGCGAGAGAGAGAGAGACATAGAGAGAGAGAGAGAGAGAAAGAGAGAGAGATGATATCAAGGTGACAGGCTGGAGATCAGTCAGGGTGGGCATTTGATCTCAATCCCCCCCAACCTCCTTATCGCTCGCAGGCCGGTCGTATAGGTACGATGGGACAGGATGGATTGGATAAGATAAGATGGATTGGATTGGACAGTATGGTTTGGATAACATAAGGTGGAATGGATAAGAAAGCCCGCCGCAGGCGCCGAAAAAAATGAACTATGAAATTAGAGACATGCGTTAGCGCCTGGACGCCCGGGACACCCGGGACACCGCCCGGCCCAACTGGGACACCTCCCGGCCACCGGCGGACGGGAAACGGACTGTCGCTCCTACTGACACCCGGGACACCCGGGACACCGCCCGGCCCAACTGGGACACCTTCCAGCCACTGGCGGACGGGAACGGACTTTCGCTCCTACTTCGGCCTAGCTACAGGAGGATCACGCGCACCTTCGCCTCGCCCGCCCGCACGACAGGAATACGAAACCGAAACCGATTTCGCGGAGGGGGGCCTCCGTTTCACTGCGATCTCACCCCCCAACCTGCGAACACCCTGGAACCACGCTTCAGGCACCGTTCCCACAAAAGCTTTGACACAAACCTTGCCGACATTGCCTTAGGCGTGGGAACTTCTAAGGCCGATACTGTGGATATAAGGCTGCCCACTGACGCCTTGAGCGGTCTGACGGCGTCACGGAGATCTTGCTGGGATACTCCGTGTTGCTTGATAGCGGCGATGTCCTGCTCGATGGGCCTCAGCTTGTCGCTGGGGATCTACATGAACAGGCCGACAATCAGGGCGGTTCCGGAATCGGTTACCTCGTCGAGGTTCTGCTCGAATTTCTTCTGCGTCTTCCCTGGGACGGCCTCGGCGTCCATGCCGTCCAACTGCTGACATGGACTGCCACTGCCACTCGGCCCTGTGAGCCGTGCCACCTTCGCATCTGTATCGCCGATATGGCGCGACTATGGCATGTTCCCACCCGAGCAAGATAATGAATCGAGAAAGGTAGACCGCTTGTCTGCCAACAGGTTGCACAGGTAAGAGGAAGCTTGAGCTAGAATGATTGAGCCAGATCCTTGACCCGAAACCGGGAGATGCCACATGTGACAGCCTTCTTGGCGTCGCCACACAGAGTGATAGGCTACCACATGTGAACCGTACCATTGACAGCTAGATTTATGAAAGAACTGGAACTCAGAACCCGAAGGAAATCCGCAGCCAAGTGAACCCCCGGCGGAGATGCCCTGTAATTCCCAGCGTCGATTGGACCTTGCACGGCGCCGCGCTCGGGCGTGCTCCGCGCGGGGCGCCGCGCAGCAGCCAACCCGCAGAAACCCCCCTGGCAAGGGAGCCCCGCCGGCGGGAGAGGCCCCAGCGACGCGTCGCTCCGTGGCGGGAGGCTGGGAGAGGCTCGGGACGTCGACGTGGTTGCCGTGTCGCGTTGAAGCGCGGTGGGCCAGAAGCCGGCAGCGGGACACGCCGACCAGCCCTAACTGGGGGAGCCGTGGTCCTTACCCCCCTGGGGGAACCCATCGCCTCGACGATCTCTCGAGGGAGGTGTCGAAATCGATGGGTCCCCCCAGGGGGGTAAGGACCACAGCTCCCCCAGTTGTAGCTGGCCGGACACGCGGAGCACCCACCAGGGGCAGCCCGAGCGGGCCGCGTCCAAGGGCAGCCCGGCCGCCAGGCGCGGGCGCCCTGCGGCCCTCTCGCCCGTCCCTCTCTCGCAGCGGCACGCCGTGCCCGCGGTCCTCCGAGGAGGGCCCAGGGCGGCGATCGCTCCGCCCGCTGATACGCTAGGGCTCCCAACTTCGCGCTTCGCGCTCCGCGAAGCGCGAAGCGCGAATCACTGCGCGCTCTCGCGCCGCCCTCCCAAAGGGAGAGAAGGAGGACGAGGAGGAGGGGGAGAAGGAGCGAGGACCGCAAAGCGCGAAGCGCGAATCATTTCGCGCCCTCGTGGGAGCCCTTGGATATGGTACAGTCAGTGTTGGTTCCCGTCATCGGGCCAGCGATAACGAGCAACAGCCGAGGAACGATGAGCATGGTGGCCAAAGAACGCAAGAAAGGCAAAGGCGATCTCATATCGCCGTGTTGCTCCACCCCACTCCGATCAACTCCTCCTTCCCCGCCCTCCTTCCTCCGCATGTTGCTCCTCTTGATCCTCCTCCCCTTCTCCGGGAGCCGCTGCGTGGTGCGGGCGGAGTGGCCAGGCGCATCGCCCTGGAGATGTCGAGGACCTCTGCAGCCCCCCCCCCCGCACACACACACACACACCATTGTTCCTACATCACGTTCTTGTCTCTTTCTCTCCTTCCCGCACGTGACCCCATCCCCCTTTACACCTGCTCGTCGTCGTTCTTCTCCACCTCCACGCCACCCACCTCTTCCTCGTCAACCTCCCCCCCTTGTGCGAGCGCATCGTGGAAACCGAAAACGACGCCTCCCGAGTTCGTCCACGGGCCGCCCTGCCGCGGCCTCACTCAGGGAGCGAACTCCCAGGAACGGGGGTCGCCAATATATATATATATATATATATATATATCCACGAAAGCACCGCAGGACGACAACCCATCTGATCAGTACCAGTGCTGACAAGTGCACAGAATGGAAACCAGTACGAAACCGTCGCAGTCGAAGAGGGGCACTCAAGACGACCATGTTGGCCCAAGGAACCAGGAGGAGTGTCCCACTTCGCTGGCCTCCCCCGCATGCGCCGGTACGCCCAGGGCGTCGGCCACGAGGTTTTGCCGTGGGGCCCCGGCGCCCTGACCCCCGCCTGAACAACAGGTGTGGCTCAAACATCAACGCGTGGTAAGCAAGACATCAGTGCCAGAGACCCACCTAGGTTAGAGCTTACAAATGTAGAACACGCAACGAAGAACAGTACCGACTTGGTCCTCGACGGTTGACGCAAACGCGCCTCATGATTTCATTGGCAACGGGGCGTCGGCCATCGATCAGCCTGTCCAGCTTACGCCTGGATTGCCTGCGGTAGGCATCGCAGTGCTGACACGCAACACTCCCTTGCACACCTGCAACAAACCCGCCGAGCCCGACGTAGCTTCACTGGAGAAGAACAATAACAAACAAAAAACCCTGCACGCCGCATACTCCCAAAAGCTGAACAGATCGCGCGTGTTGTTTGATTTGTACCGTCAAACAAATCACCAGCACACCCTTCTGGGCCCAGATAGCTGTCAGCGAACAGCACCGCCGTGGCAACCGCTTCAGTGCTGGCACAGGGCTGGCAACCTGGGCCTGACACTTCACGCGGCCCAGCCCCGCGGGCACACGCTGTGAACAAGCCCCGTGGGCACACACACTCAAGATTGAATGTTGGCCCGCACGTTGCCTTTCTTGGCCCCTCTGCCACAACGTCGACAACGAAAAGAACCATCAGCCACCTCCACGAACAGATGCAGCTGGGTGACCAGCTTCGCCAGCGCTCTGCATGTGGCTTGGAAAGCAGCCCAGAATCCCTCCGAGCACCTTCCAGAATCATGATACGAATGGCCCTGGCAAAACTCTGGCGGACGCGCTGGTGGCGCTTGCGCTCCACCTGATACATGTAGACAAAACGGTCAGGGAGTTCTGCGCGGCTTAATCCTTTCCTTTGCGAGGTGATCAGCCCAACAAATGCTACGCCACCAGACTGCTGACAGCCCCATGTGCAAGTATTCGTTCGCCTCCCCATGTGCGAGCGTTCATGCGCAGGCAGGCGGTTCTGCCTTGACCACCATGAACATGCCTAGAGAATATAAACCTGCTCGGCTGTCGCACCCTCCCCCATGGGGCTCCGGCTTTTACCGTCTCTGACAAGGCCACTCAAGTCCGACGCCACTGGCCTCGTCGTGGGGAGAAGGGCCAAGTCTTGGACAACAGCAAACCTCTCGGCTCTTCCCACCGTTTGCCGATCACCAAGAAGGTCCAAAAGCTGCGCGGGCTGGTGGACCGACCAGCGAATTCTGGACCAGCGCCCACCCACATCAACAAATTTCTGGCACCGAAGACTCGAAGCCAGACCCGCCCGTAAAAACTGTTTCTGACCGCCTTTCAACATCTGATACCCAACCGCCCCAGGACCCAACGCCCACCTTCGAACTAGGCCTCTGCAGTTGCGGCGGCATGACTGTCGGCCCAACCGACAGCTTCAACGTACCATAATCGGGGCCACGCTTGCCATTTTGATACCCCTTGTCAAGCATCAATGTTTTAACCTCCTTGAGCTTCTCCGAAAGTTCCAGACCTTCGCCATCTCCAATCCCAGCGGTACGCCCTCGCCAACGATGAACGCGATCGAATACTTGGCAATCCTTTGACCCCGAAAGCCCACAGGGATGATTCTGCGCTCGGATCCAACGCGCCCCACTCACAAGCGCGCGAACGCTTGACTGGTGACGCGTCGCCATCGATCCTCCGACAACAGCCCTTGTGGAAGCTGCGTCTCGGCACCATCCCCAACCACGCGGTGACAATGAATTCTCCGACGCTGCCAGCGCTCAGCGCCTTCGCGCAGAAGCCGCTGCGCCTCATGATATATATATATATATATATATATATACATAAAATAAACAAGAAATCGCGTCGCCATGACCCGTCGCAGAGGGTTCCATGCCCAGCCAATAAAAGCAAGGCTGCCAAACCCCGGCCGTCGGACCTCGCATGAAAGACCAACCGGCTAATCCACCTTCCTGGCTAGCGGATCTTTGGCGCGTCTATCTCCGCGCTCGCCCCAATCTGTCAAGACTGCGCCCGCTGCCCCACGCGAAGTCCGCACCCTCGCCGCCGGGCCCGCCGCGGACGCAGAGATCAGATCGCAATGCGGGCTGCTCTGCGTGACCATGTACACAACGAAAGAAGCCCCACTGCCTTTCTACATCGCTCAGTCGAGCAAGCCGTCGTCGCCAAATCCGACCGCGCCAGCCCCGCGCGCGGCCGCTGGGAGCACCCACAAATTCCAAAGACTGCCTATCTCACCACCGATTGCGCCTCTGGGTCGCATCATGAGTCGCAGCCTTCGGCCCATCAGACCTCGAATTAAGACGTCGAGCTGCAACCGCGCACGTTTGCCTCCGCAAGTCCTGTCCAACGCGGCGAATCCAGCGAGCGCATCGAGTGCCCAGCCGGCCCGCTGCACCCTTGCACCTGTTCACAACATTATCGGTCGCAGCCGCAAACGCAAACTTGCACGTCTCCGCAATCAGCCACAACTTGGAAGCTTTCTGCTTGGAAACCGTCACCGCGCTCCAAATCTTACCCACATCAGCGTTCAACGCCCCCCCCCCCCAATGACTGGTCTGGTAGCCAACCAAGCCTCTCGGAATTACATGTGGCTCTCTGAACCCAGCCAACAATCGCCCGAGGAGAACGCAATGCAGGACGTGGCGCACGGGCATCCAACCAGAACGCCTTGCGACGCGGCAGCTGCCCTGCTGGGCGAGTCGCGGGCCTCCGCGCACCGCGGCATCTGATAAACTTCTCGGAGCATCCAGAGCAGCCGATGGTCGCGCCATAGCCTTCTCGCCCCCTCGAAAGAAATGGCGCCAGTTCGAGATTCGCAACGCGCGCGCGCGCCCACCATGGCCGCGACACGTCGCCCACCCGACTAGACCGCGACCTCGGCAAAGAAATTGGCATCGAATGCGCAGTCCGATGAAGATCGTCCTACCCAAAATCCACATAAATAGACTGAAAAGTTCTGAGCTAGCCGCGCCTTTGACACGGTCGACCCGGCCCGCCCCCAAAAGTCCAACGATGGTGCTCATCGACGCGGCCAGTCGGCAATCTCCTCCTGGTTTGGGCAATCTCACCATGACATTCCATGACGTTCCACGTCCTCGCCGCGGGCCAACACACAACCTTTTTCACATACCATGGTCCAGTCTCGCCTTCGTCCGAATACCAACCTGTGCCTATGAGACCAAGTCTCCGGAACAACCCCCACCTGCCCAACGGCGGCGTGGCCCGGGAAGCTTTGAATGACCCGTGCAGCATGTCGGCGGCAATCCCATGTCGTACTGGCCAGTCTTTCGCATCGCTTAGTAAACTCACCCGCAGCCGCGTACGACTGCCCCCATGCCCTACTCCCACGGGCCCAACGCCTCCTCCACAAGGGTCTAGCTGTTTGCTGTACCTGTCCAGGTCCACGAGCTTTCCCCTTGCCCCGCAGTAATTGCACATTGCCAGGGCGGCGGGCTCCCCCAGCACCTTTCAGAAAGAAGTTCCGCGCCAACTGCTTCCGACCATTATATCCGCGCCGCACCTCCGACCATTATATCCGCGCCGCACCTTCGCCTGGCACACCGCATTGGCATGCCCCAATATCTAGCGCGCCGCGCCCAAGAAGGCGTCGTCCACCACCGCCCCAAAACCTGCCTATAAGAAATCATCGGCCCAGTCGCCAAGGCACTTGCGCGCGCCGATATTCCTCTTGGCCCTGCCGAGAAATACGCCGTCCACGACTCACTGAAACCTGGGCACTGCTGAATGCCCAGCTGGCCGATAGCTGCAGCGGCCCAAACCACTTGCCAATCACTGCCCTGATCGCCACCATAGGCTTGGCCCACCGAGCAGCCGTTATCCAAACTTGCTTTTGGGGGCCCCGCGTCTCCTCGTCTCCACTGCGCTCTGACCTCGTCGGCATACGCCGGGCCTGCCCGACCAACGTCAGCCAGCCTCTTCGTCTCCGGCAACGTTGCACTGATCCAACAATTCCATCTCTGTCAGCTCGATAACTCCCCCACGAGCCCCCGCAAGCGCGCACTCGCAAGATGCCTTCTCCATAGCAAGACTGGCCAAACCCCAGTCAGCCACGCTTCGCGCGCACCTAGGCAATGGTCGCGCTGGCAGGCTGCGCGGCCGGCCAGGCACCACAAACTCAGCACCCACCCCCCTGGCACTCACAAGCAGGACAACCAGCCCGCGCGTCCAAGGTTGGCAAATGTCGCCCATGACTGGCGTCGCCAAACGACCCATCGAGTTTTTGTTGGCCAAGAAGGAGTCGATGGCGGACCCTCGTTTCATCTGGCGGCCAACAGGCGACGCCATTCGGACTCGAGAAACCACCTCCAAACCGTTCAACCCAATCAGGACCAGAGCCAACAAATTGTCTCTTCCTGAGGTTAAAAATCCCTTTCCGACGATCCAGACGCGGCCTCCGCAATAAAGCGTCGCGACGCCCCCCCCCCCCCCCCCCCCCCCCCCCCCCACCACCCACACCCACCCACCCACCCACCCA